GTACCGTAACCCGTAACCCGAACCCGTAACCTACCAACCAACCAACTAACGTAACGTAACGTAACGTAAGTAACGTAACGTAACGTAACGTAACTACTACTACTCTCTCTCTCTCTCTCTCTCTCTCTCTCTCTCTCTCTCTCTCTCTCTCTCTCTCTCACATAAACTTTATTTCCTTCCACCAAAAATAACACCATTACATGGCACACCAGCCCGCCTTTTTATTTTCTACCACCATGCTTCCTAAAGACTCCCTTCCAAAGACGTAATCCCTCTTTTCTTAATTGATGGCTTCCCTTCCACATCCCCTCATCCACATTCAAAAAATGGAAACAAATGTACTTCCTAAAAAATTAAGGATAACCTTCCTTCTACCTAAAAGCTAACTCCTATCCAAATGATCTTAAACCAACGTACTCTTTTATCTCTTAGCAAACCCTTACTAATAGAAAGGATTCACTTCGAAGGAAAAACGGATCTTCCAAAGAAGAAGACTCTCTTAAAATTTAAAAATATGGACTCACTCCAAGAAAAAAAAGGACTTCATGAAAGTAACCTAAAGCCCAGATGAATCCTATTTCTAACTATAAAAAAAATAAAAAGTCTACCCACATCTCTAAAAATAAAATGAACAAAAGTAAAATTAAAATTGTGTAGCAACCAAATCTTCACCTGCATCATTCTCCCCTAGTTGGAGAAAACTCGACCTCGAGTTTTGAAATACGTTATCCTAGCAACTTTCTTCAACTCGAACATTGTAAACACGATCCTGGGACTTATGGGTACTTGCACTAATCATAACCCAACAATCGTGCATTGAAAATAAGAAGCCCTTGAGAAAAGGGTTGTTGTATGTCGATAGAGTTTGTTCCGCCACATAAACTTGCTGAAATTGCCCAGCTTAACCTTAGGGCACACCATATATGCATCTTTGAGATGAGCACAAGATTCAATGGTCAAACCAATTTCACCTATTGATTCTCATCAATTTCCCCTATTGATTATCCTTTGAGGCCTTCATTTTTTTCTTCATCCAATATTGGTTTAACCACATAATCTTGATCATCGTCATAGATTAGATCTCTTACAAGATCTTGTTCATCATCTAAGTATGTATCGAAAGTGGCAAATCCCAATCTACAACATGTTGATTTTCGATGAGAACTGACGCTTAAATCAACATCGTTCTCCATCAAATCATGTAGATCAACAAATTTTGCGTTTAAGATAGGTTTTCTTTTGGGTCATTTTAATTATTGTATGGACATTTAATATCTTCAAACATAATATTGTAATATATAAGAAGTGTGTAGGGTCTTGAGGGGGTCATTCTATATGATTTTCAAAATTGAAAAAAAAAGAAAAGCGTATGCTTCTGAACCCTATATTGCATGAGTAAACCCTCGGTTGCTCCTAGTTATTACTTGTGTTTGGCCTGAAGTTTTGTTGTTTTCAGTTTTCTCAAATTTCCCTACATCAAATTAGTATCAGAGCTCAAGTTTCTATCAACTCCTTACTAGGCATACCAGGATCCATTTCTTGGGTATTTCTTCTTGCCACAATAGTATTTGAGCCAACGAAGAAGAAGGTTGAAGAATGTGGCCTTGATGCTAAATTCATCTTACCACACTTCAAATTCGAGGACAAGTTTTTTCCAACTAGGGGACAATAATGCAAAACAAAATTATCCTTATTTCTATTTTTTAATTCAATTTCAAAGGATATATATTTTTGTTTATATTTTTGTTAGGGTTTTTAAGTCTTTTTTAGGGATTAGAGATTTCTTTTATATTTTTAGTTACTATTCACTAATTATTATTCATGGGTACAGTTCATACGTATTATTCACAGGTATTGTTCATTGGTTAGTATTCATCGAAGTAAATTTATCATTGCAAGTGTTTTAGTTTTTTTTTTGTCATTTTAATTATTATATGGAGATTTAATGTCTTTGAATATTAAATTGCAACATATAAGAGGTGTGTGGGGCATTGTTTTAAAATGCAGCCGCATGCCGCATCATGCGGTATGCGCCAAGAGGTGCACCCCAAAACAGCGCATATGCACTTTGATGGGATGCGCCCACATATGCGGTTGCATAGAGCATCGTACCACATATGCGTTGCATCAGCGTGATGAAAAACAAAAAAAACCTTAAAAAATGGGTATTTACGTAATTTCCAACCCCCCTCCACCCCAAAAAGAAAAGGACGGGATACGGTTTTTTTGGAGTGGGGAGGGGGTTTATTAAATCCCCCAAAACAACAAAAACAGCCACTTCCGTGGCTTCTTCTTCATCAAATTGATTATGAAAAAAAGAATGGTGGAAATTTTTTTGATGTTGAGCTAGCCGCAGGGGCTAATGGAGAAGTACAACTTAACACTAGAACACAAAAGAGTAAATGCTCGGTTCAGCCGTATGTTAGTTCCAGAGGTCTAGGAGGAGGAGGCCGACTTCGAGGAAACCGAGGAAAACGAAGAATATGTGGAGGCCCCCAAGGATGGTATTGATGATGATGATGCACATGGAGACGCTCTAGATAACTTGTTTAATAAAGATTTGAGATTTAGACTTGAGACTTGAGAAATGATGATGATTTGTCTTGACGTTTGAACTCTTCAATCTTTATAGACCGTTAGTTTGTAACTTTAAAGTTTGCAGTTGCAAATTTGTGATATGGTTTTTGAATGTTTATGAATTACGATAATATGATGTCTTCTAAGTTCTATTGTTTTCTATAAAGTTAGTTTCAAGTTTCTAGTTTCTATTTTCTAATGTCTTCTATGATCTTAGTGGGTACAGAATCTCCGACAACTGATACTTTTGGAGTTAATGAATAATTTAAATACAAACTATCACATAAATGACCTCCACATTTTTTCCAGGCATTAACCTATTTTTTGAGATTTTTTAGGACTTTTTATATTTATTGACCGCATTGGGGTGATGCACGCTCATCTGGACAGCATCAAGCCGCATCGCACCCCCCCAAAAAATATTGCATTGGGACTACATTCTACATTTTAAAACACTAGTGTGGGGCCTTGAGGGGGTCATTCCACATGCTTTTTAGAAATTGAAAGAGAAAGGAAAGCTTAAGCTTAGGCTTTTGGAATGCAGGCTTGGGGTGAAGAGGCAACCCTAGGTTCTCTTGCTGATTTTTACCGTTTCTTCAGGTTCTCTGCACCAAGTCACAACACCTTTGTGAATTTTCTTGCACTCAAGGCCAACTTTACTTTATCAATAACCATGAGGGTACAAATATCGTGGAGTGGTGGTGTTCTAACATCCATAAGGATGGACAGGAACTGCAAACAGCTAAACAAAAGCTGAAGCACTGCAATGGTCTTAACCAGTGTTTTAAAACCTGGAATTGGGTTTTGAATTGCACACTCAATGTACCCATCTGGATCAACAGGGGGTGGTGGATTGCTCACCCACCAATTCCAATCCAAATTGGTGATTCCCTATCATCATTTTAAAACACTATTCTATGAGAGGGATTGCATACTATCCGATGAGAAAGAAAATTAAAAGAGCAGAGTCAAAGTCGAAGTAAGATAACTCTCATAAGCCTATATATTATATGTCAACATATTCCTCAAAAAAGATAACTCTCATAAGAGGGTGGAGAAAGATAACATTTTCAAGTAAGAGAAAGTTAGATGGAGACAACAATGTGAGAGTCTTAAGGAAGGAGACCAAGACAGTTGGTTGTTCACAAAAAATTGCAAATGCTAGACAGAGAAAAATAAAACAAAATTATCACCATTTGCATCAAGGAAAGGAGAAAGGGTGAGGTTTCGAATGTTGACATGATTTTGGGCCTCTTTCACTTACATTTTACTGAAAACGTTGGGAGGACACTGAAGCTTGATGGAACAACCTTCAATTGTAGAAAGCAAACAGGGAAAGGGTTTTAAAAATAACAAAAAAGCTGTTTTTTTTTTTGTTGATAATGTTAACATTGTATTGCTGTAAGAGTGAGTACAAGTGAAGGAGGAAAGAGAGGACCTCGAGTACCCATGAAACAGGTATCTTGGTCAAAAATAGGTCCCGAGACCCTATACAAAAAATTTGCCTTGTCACCTGCCAGATTACAAAAAGTTATAGTGTAGCAAAAAATGGGGCTTATAAGAGCACCCGAGTACAAGTAAAAAAGAAAGGCTAACTACAGTCCTGGGAACCCTCTCTGGTCCAGAGCAAAAACGGAGATGGACCGGTCGAGGTCTTCCACACTTGCCCGTGCTCCGTCTTTAGCTAAAAGATCGGCGAGCTCGTTAGACGTCCGCCAAGTATGCCTCCATAAGACGCTCATATCCCTGCATATGTGGTGAATTTCGTCAAAATTCCTTGAGAGGTACCAAGGAGGAGGGGAGGTGCCCGCTGCCCAAGAGATGGTATTTTGGGCATCTCCTTCCACCACCAAAAGTTGGCCCCATGAGGAGTTGAAGAGCCCTTGTCCCACATTTTCTGAGTAGGACATGGTATTTTGGGCGTCTCCTTCCACCACCAAAAGTTGGCCCCATGAAGGGTTGAAGAGCCCTTGCCCACCGCCAAAGCTTTAACGAACTAGGAATCTCCTTGTCCCACATTTTCTAAGTAGGTGAGGGCGATATTGTTGTTGTGATCACATAATGCCCCTCCTGCCCCTGAAGGCCCTGGGTTCCCCAGCGAACAAACATCAAAGTTGAGTTTGACGGCGTTTTCTGGAGGGGCCTGCCAGTTGTGAGGTCTTTGATTCTTGTGATATTGGAGGTGCATGATATTCTCCCACTGACTAAGGAACGTGTTAGAGGGGATCCCTACAAAGTCCCTGTGGGTAGAAGCCCAAAAGGTTACTAGGGAAGTAACCTTATGGAAAAGCACTGGAACTTCGTTTTTGTGGCATTATAACACCCTCTCGTTCCTTTCTATCCATATGACCCATATGGTAGCAGCGATTGTTGACTTCCACAATGTTCTGCCGGCCTTAGGTCAATGTTAGCCAGAATAGGAGGAGGTGAGAGCCTTAACCGAGGGTGGGAGCACCCATTGATTATGGAACAGCTGAAGTATAAGGCTCCAGAGTTTGAAAGCCTGGCCGCAATGTAAGAAAAGGTGAGGGTTCGTCTCTTCCTCTTGCAGGCACATAGCGCATCTGTTAGGAAGCGAAAGGCCTCTTTTTTGAAGTTGGTCGACTGTGAGAGCCCGTTGGCAGCAGGCTATCCAATTGAACATTTGGACTATTGGAGGGGCTATGGTTGACCAGACTTTGGATAGGACAGAGGTGGGGTTCAGGGGGTAAGTAGGGGATTGAATAAGTTTGTTGTAGAAGGAGGCCACTGAGAACTTTCCAGACGGAGAGAGAGCCCAAACTAGAGAATCAGTCCCTGATGGAGATAAGAAGATTGGGTGTAAGGCAGCGGACAAAGAAATGAAGAGTGAAATCTCCTCTTCGGTTAGGTTTCTCCTAAATGAGGGATTCCAAAACCTACGACCCCCTAAAAGGACCATTTCATCAGCTATGGTGGACTCTTTATTGGAGGAGAGGTGAAAGAGAGAGGGGAAAAGATCCCTAAGAGGGGAATGTCCAATCCAAAGGTCGGATCAAAAACGCAATCTCGTGCCTTCTTTAGGATGGAAACGGATAGATTGATTGAAAAGGGCAAGAAAGGATGCAAAGGACTTCCAGACTCTTGAGGCCCTATTGCGGGAGGTCCTGTCAAGCACCCACTTGTGTTCCGGGATCCTGTATTTGGTGCAAATGAGGGAGTTGGGTTGGGTGGCCAATCTCCACCACCATTTCCTAGCAGAGCCAGGTTTTGTTTTCTCAGGTCCCTGATACCTAGGCCACCTTGGGATTTGGGTAGTCGGACTTTGTCCCAAGAGATAAGGTGGTGTCTGGTTTTTTCCGCTTGGCCAAACGAAAGAAAGTTTCTCATGAACTGGTCCAGCCTATTAGCAATCGAGGCTGGCATGTAGAAGATGGACATAAAATAGACCGGGGCATTGACGAGTGTGGCTTTGACCAGCGTCGAGTGGCATGCCATTGAAAGAAACCTCCCTTTCCAGCTGGCCAGACGCCTATCCATCCTGTCAATAACCTGAGCCCATTGTCTTTTTTTTAGCTTCCCCAAACCCAAAGGTATGCCCGAGTAGGTGGTGGGGAGGTTCTCTACTTTACAGTCCCAAGTACGAATAAGGGCTCTGATCCTCATTGGGGATAAATATATGGGCGTTCCTGGGTAACTAAGCAATGAACACCAATCCTTTAATATTAAGGTCTTGGTTTGGGATTAAGGTTAGAAAACAGCACCCTCCCTGCTCTTGTTTTAATCGTTGAGCTTCTTAAGATTGTCCTTTCACATCTAATGGAACAAGTTTCTCTCCAATAATGAGTAAGTGCATGTCATGCCGCCATTGCATGCGTGTGGTCATGTGAAAGTTCTAGTTGATGTACTTCTTGTTGTTAAGGACCTTCAATTGCAACTCAACTATGTTCATCCATTTTCTTTCTTTCGCAGTTTCACCAGCTGATCAATAGAATATAGAGCAGGTGGGTGTAAGAAAGAGCACACAGAGATTCCACAAATCCTACACGGATCACTTAAGAGTAGCTCTAACACTACTAGTAGTATCTGCTCTATTAAGTATTGTGAAATTTTGTGTGCCTTTGTATTGCTTTGTTCAAAAAAAAAAAAAAAGGTGAGATTGTAGTGTGAAATTTACACTATGATTATAGGGAAAATTACACTGTTAAAAGAAATGATCATAGTGTAAAAAATAAAACAAATTATAGAGAGGGAGAAAAATACATTGTTAAAAGAAATGATCATAGTGTAAAAAATAAAACAAATTATAGAGAGCAAAGAATGTGAAATGTACATTTCACCACCAGAAAGATCATGAAATTTCTGCTTTAAATAGATTCCAATTGGTATTAAAAATAAAATTCCTATATAACATATCGTCTATAACTCTAGAGAGAAAAACAACTACGTTTTTTTTTTTTTTCTTGATTCTTTTCAAAATACTTCTATTTTTCAACACAATAGTCAAGACAAGAAAGAAAATTTTGGCACTCACTTGAAAACTTGAGGCCTCTGTGCTACTTCCCATTCCAAACTCATCCATATTTGTCTTCCCAATCAATATAGCGTCTCTCTCTCTCACCATCCTCACCGCTGTGGCATCGAAAGGAGGCCGATAATTCTCCAGAATTCTCGACCCACCAGTCGAAGGCATATTCAACGTACAAAGATTGTCCTTAACCCCCACCAAAACCCCAGCAAGAATACCCAATTCCTCATTTCTCGCAATCTTCTTGTCTATTTCTTCAGCATCTCTCATCACATTCTCTGAGACATGAAGGAAGCTTTTAAGAAGGGGCTCAGTCTGGTTCAACCTGGTGAAGTACTCCTCTGCTATCTCTACTGCTTTTCTCTGGCGAGAAATTAGGGCTTCTCTGATAGTGAGGATTTGAGAGAAAGGGGGTGAAGATGGGGCTAGTGTTACTGGGTCTGATATGAGCTGTGAAGCCCTGAAATGGCGGAAAAAAAACCTAGAATTGACGCCATGGCGGACTGGCTTTGAAAATAACCAGCGCTGCTGGATTAGAAACTTAGGAGTTTGGATTGGAGATGGCATTTTTAGAGAGAGAGAGAGCTTTCTCTCTCTAAGTCATGCAGAGGCGAAGCTTTCTCTATCTAACTCATGCAGAGCGCCTCTATTCTGGATTTCCAATCCAACCAAGTTAGCAACAAACATTTGAAATTGGTATCAGATAAGGGATTGGGTAACACCATGCATCTTTGGAAAAAGATTAGAACAATTGTTTCGTTGCGGGCTAGACCGCATTTGTACAATATGCAGTTCAGAAGTATAAAGCATCTATCTTCAAACAAGTGGTCCATATAAAAACAAGAGAAAATATCATATTGTCTTCTAATTTTAACTTCTATATCTCAAATTTTAACTTCTATATCTCATCATACGCAAAATTGAAAATATTATTTGTAATCAAACAAATCTATTTTTTCTATCTTTCAAACCCCTAAACTTTTTTTACCATATATTATTGACCTCAACAACTTAAGAAATGATTTTATCTCTCTCTCTAAAACTTCATCTCTCTTACGTCTTCATCACTCTTTTTCAAAACTCCATTTGTTTTTAAAACCCAAACTCCATCTCTCTCTTCACATCATCTCAAAATTCCATCTCTCTCCCTAAAAGTCAAAAGTCAAAAGTTCAAAAATAAAAAAATTTCTCGATTTCGTGACTCACCCCAAACCATACAATTGACATCTAATAAATGGGAATAATTGTCACCATATAAAAGATAAATGATCTCTTGGTAGACAATCCCATCAAATAATGGGTGTCATTTTTAATTGGGTGCAATTTGTATAAGGGTGGGGCTCTAAACAATCATAGTAAAGTGCACTTTTAAGTAGTGTCGAGAAATGGGGTTTCAATACTGAAACTCCTTGTGAAAGCCTTAAAATATATTTTCATCTCTAACAATAAAATTTAAAGCTTCAGAAATAGTCTACATTGAGCGGATCTGTTAAACTTGAAAATCTTAAAAATTGATGGTACAAAAATGTGTTACAATATGCACTATTTCCAAAACTTGAAATCACTTTTTTTTTCTCATGTCCTTGCATCTTGATGTCGACATGATTAATTTAAGGATATTTGGGCATCAAAACAACC